TTTTTTTTTTTTTCATGAACGTTCAAGGAAATCTTGTATTCTGATTTGTAACCTAGTAGGTCTTTTGGTCGATTAGGCAAATCTCAGGATAGTCATATAGAAAACGTACAATGTAATTCATCCTAAAAATGGGTGATCAACAAAAAATCTAAAAAATCTACCTATTCAACTTAGTTAGGATATTCAGAAAATATAACATGTAAATGATACTAAGAGATGGGGACAAAAAATACCAGGACAACAAAGAGGATAACGTTGAAGATTGCAACAACCCGCCACTCGATTTTCATGTACTGCGCGACTCCAGCCCTTTGGCAGTTGAAATCAAATTGAAAGAGAAAACGTGCGATGAGCATGTAAAAAAAAATCTTTCATAAAGAAGAGTATGAATGGAAGTGGGTAATAATATTTTACTTGCACGAATCACAATTATAGCACTTGACAGCCTTTGAGTTTTTGTAAAGTCTGCAGTCTTTGTTTGAGCTGATCGGGTGGAAGCTTAAGTCAAAGTATGAGGCATTCACGGCTGGATATCCACACCTGAATTGTTTCCAATAGCCGCATGAAATTATTAAATAAAATTGACGAGTTTTTTATTTATTCTAGTTATGTCAAGAGTCACTAAGAATTGATTAAAAAAAAAAAAAGGATGAGGCCACCTACTCGGATGGCGGTCTGCAGCAACCGGCTTCTATGGGGCTTAATTTTGCCATTTTATATTGCTTCAGAGTCTGAATTTAACAGGTGAGAGCATATACGAGACTCCATCAAACAAACAACAATTGAAAAAAAAAAAGGCCACACACATAAACTGACAAGATTGTTGTGGGAACCTTGTATTTTATCGCAAGATTGTTGCAGTCCTCAGACTTGACGAGGCAACTCTTCAAATGCTCCCAATTCTCAGTGTTGTTAAGCTGGATGTGAGATAAAGTGGAAAATAGTCAAATACCATAATTCTCTTGCAGCAATAACTGACTTATATTATCATCAGGCTAAGTCGTTTCAACTACTAAGATCGCGTAATTGGCATATGCTTACTTGATTCAAGAACCAGGAACTGTAATCATGAAGTTGATACTCTTTATACCTATATACAGAAAAGAATTACCGTCTTAAGTCGAAGTGAAATTACGAAAAAGATTATTGATAAATTATTGTGTTTTTAAAAAAGAAAATGTCACTATAAATCCTCCTGCTGTAACAATAGCCATCACATCATTAAGAGAAAAGTGAATGCCAAGATGATTAAAAAAACTACAGTTATGAGCCGTCTTACCTCAGACCAGTCACATTATGACCCGAGCCATTATTTGTTACTATAAACCTACAAAATACGGCATCAAGATGCACGCGTCAACAGACACAATAACACCAAACTCCAAACATTTGAATACATCCCGGTTGTAGGAAATGCGTTTTGATTATTGATAGAAAAGAGTAAGTCCCATTGTAGGAAATGTAACAATCACAAAGTAGTAACTAGCAAGTGTCATGAAGTAACCTCATTTTCTTTATCCTTCTTTTTTACCCTTTTTGGTTTAAATAGCATGAATATCACACACACAAAACACAAACACAAACACACACACACAAAACACAAACACACACACACACCACCGGCAAGAATAATTGTTAATATTAGGAAGACCTCGATTGCATGAGAAAAAATTGTGGAAGATATTTCCGAAAGATCAATTTTCTGATATAAGAATGTGTAAATACTAAATACCAGATTCAATCATTTTCAAAGTGAATGTACTTACGCCAAAACCGTGAAGACCAAAATTGCTACCAGTATGAGGCAAAGCAAGATAAGGTACTGCAATTACGAGCTAAGGAATATCAGAGCAGAAGTGCACATAATAGAAAAATTGGGTTAAAACCTAAAAGAAAAATAAAAAATCAACAACCCCTCATTACAAACACAGCAAAAATGTTTGCAAACAATGATACCATCCATAACAAGATCAAGTTGTTCTTCAACGCGCCAAGAAACCCAATGACAGATCTGAGAAAACGAATAAAAAAAAAAATGGTTTTTAACAAGTAAGGTAAAATTTTCGGTTTCTAGCCAAAACAGGAAAAAACATGTAAAGATTCATAGAATAACAGAAGCTTACACCACAAAGATTACAGTTCCGAAGCCTATAACCGGCAGCGTGAGTGTTTTCCTACAGTTATCTTGATGACTGCCCATCCACACTCCGAAACCTATGACTCCAACAGCTAATAACTACCAAGAAATCGAAAGGGGGGTCAAGCTCCTGAAAAATTCACTTGCAATTTGAGCACAAAATAAACTAACCGAAAAAGTTTCATTCTTTCAGGTCATATGTACATACAGTTCTGAGTTAAGGCCAACAACTCAAACTTGAACCCATTTCAACATAGTGAACAAGAATTTTACAGTAAAAGCTAACAATTAGCTAACATTCATAAACATATTCATACTATATGTACCTAATACCCTTTTAAACTAAACTAGCAGAAATTACAACACACAGTTAGGTCAATAATACCAAGAACCAAAAAAACACAAATCCAGACCAAAAAAAACTGAGATTCGAGCAAAAGGGTTTCATACTATTGTAAGAAAATTTATCCATCGGATTATGAAAGTGCTTGTTCCTCCCTCTGACCTCATTGATTTTGTCCCTATAAACCCTTTTTCACCTTCTGTCAAACATAAACACACACACACACTGTGAGCTAAATGGTGATAAAGATCAAATCTTTCTGCTTTTTTATTCAAGCAAATTGCTGTGAGCAAGAAAGGGATATGGTGGACAAAAAGTGGGTTTTTGGAACTTTTTTTTTTTTTTTTTGGGGGTAATTTGAGCTCCGATTGAAGGGTAAAATGGGAAGGGAAAGAAGAAAAACCTGCCCCGGCATGAGTATAAAGGGAGTCATTAGAATTCAAAAATCTGTCACTTTAATGGGAGTTGAAAACAAACGTTTGACTCTTGTCTATTGGTAACTACAGTGAGTCAGTGACAGTTAATATGTACAGTGTAATCATACTCTATATTTTGGTCAATTTAGAGCACTCATATCATAGATAATGTTTATCTATCTATCGGCGGACATATGTTAATATGTATACTGTTTATGCGATATGCACACATTGATGATGTTAATATATTCAAAAAATAAATCACCAATATGTGCATGTCACATAAACGGTTGACATATTAATATGTGACTACTGTGGATAGAGGAACATTATTATTCATGTGGTCCCTCCCTCTTTTACTTTTTATGGGCAATAATGAGTAACTTAATTAGTGTTGAAAATTTTCAAGATATTTTATAATCCCATCCACGGATTAGTTTATATTTTCATATATATCCAATTGGTCATCTAATCCGAGTGACAAAAGAGTTTGAATTTTTACCGATTAATACACAACAATATAATCATTAATGTTCACTAAAATATTTTTAAACCAAATGATAGGTTGTATAACTATAATCTCTCCTTATATATTAATTCAAAACGTGTTGAACCTAAGTAATAGACTTACACGTTTCGAATGCTGACATGACAAAAATCTATGCTTCGAAATATTGTTTGTATATTAATTGT